TTTGGAATTTTAACCTTTAACAAATTTGGTTAATTTTATTGCTCATCATGGTTTATTATAGCAATCCACTAAAGTCATTTGTAACTGACACCTGAAATTAGACAAAATGAGGTGATTGAATCATTAAATAGTTATTTATCTGTAGTTTCATTTTTATATAAATCCTTAACTTTCAGTGCTGTTCACAGAAAAAATTAAGAAATGATAAGAATTTTTTAGCCATTTTACTTGATATTTTTTACAAAATGCCATGACCTTGTCATAGGTCATAGCTAATTTTGAGGGCTGATTTAGTTCATGATACATATACACAAATAACTATTACTTCCCATATAGCTATTTTAAAAAGTTAGCATGCTGCAAATGGTTGAGAAGATGCATGTGCATACATATTACATAAAGAAGAACATACATTCAAGAAATATTTACATATAAGAACAGTACAAATAAAGCATGTAATAGTAAACATATTAAGAAGCATCAAGATGTAATGTCAAGAGAATACACACAACATGAATTATGTATTTATTGTATTTAAAAATAATGAAATAATGAGTGAACCCAAGCTGGATTGGCTAAGGGCAAATAGTTTAGAAGATTAAAGATTGGGAAAAAAATTAGTAGAAAATACACTTGAAATTTCTTGTTGCTTCACAGTATTATGTGTAACATTGCAGAAATGTGAATGTTCAGTATTGCATGAGTAATATCTCATTTTTGGTACTAAAATTAGTATAAAGTTAGGTTTAAAACGAAACTACTTGGGGAAAATAAATATAGTAGTATGTGGTCTTAGTGTTTTAAATGTATGTGTTTATTATTTAATACTAATTAAATATGGAAATTCTAATAAAAAGATATTAAGGTTTATAAAAGAAAAAATATATTCCTAATTTTTAAGAAATTCAAATTAGGATAGGGGTTTTGGTTTACTGCATATATTTTAGAAGAGTTTTACATTAATAAATTAGTTTAAATTTTCTAATTTCTTTTGTATGAAATGATACAAGATCAAAGAAAATTATATGATATAAATTTGGCATTATCCTATGTAAAATTGAAAGAAAATCTTTAAATTTGCATGGAGTGCTCTGTTCATTTCTAATTTTTAAAGATTTTTTTTCTAAAATTGTCAAAATCAAACATTTTGTACATAGATTTGTAATTTTAAGCATTTAAAAATGATTAAATACAATTATGGAATAAAACAATTCACAGAGGAAACCATGTCTTTTTAGTGTAGTTGGTGTGCTTTGTGGTTTTAGTTAATTACTATGCATTCTAGATAATTATTTTACAATTACTGTAAATGTAGATTGTGTAAAGTTTTCAAATATATTGTAACAAAAATGTTATGTTTATGTATTTAAATTTGTTTTTGATATTTGAATGTTAAATATGTTATCTGAATACCTTGACTACATAAGTATGGGCTTCTAGTTCTCTTCCACATAGATCGGATCTGATGGTGAAGAAATTACGCTACTATGCACGATTTATCGTAGTTTGTCTTTTGCTCAAAAAGATGAAATTAGTAAGAGACTTGGTTAGGGTAAGTATGAAACTTGAATATATTTTACTTTTTAAATCTACATCCAATTTATTAATTTTTATATTGTTTATTTTCTTGCATGTAATATTTGAGGTACCATAGTTAACACTATACAGAATTTGGGTCGCAAAGGTGTTTTATGAAATCTGCTCTTGTTACATTAACAATGTTCTTTGCTGGTTTCTTTTTGCCCAACACACCTTAGACTGTTCTTTTTGGATCACTTACAGCTGTAAGTTACAGTTTCTTCACCTTCAAGAAGTTATCTTCTGTATCAAACCCAAAAATAAATTTTTCATTATAGCATCAGCTGATTACATCATTGCTGGGGTTCTTGTGCTAGTCATCTAAGTGGATTACTCATTTGTTCAGGTCTTCTTTAACTATGGATTGCCTTAATGCAATGATGTTATCTTAACATTACTCTGCACAAAATTTCCAGAACTTGCATTTTGTGGATACTTAGTTTTCTTCTGGCATGTATCAATATCTCACAAGTTTTTTCCTGAAAGATTTTCTCTAGGTCTTGTCTGTGTCCATTTGGATTCTCACGTATTGATGTTCAGTGCATGTTACAGTGTTGTGACTCATATACCTGGACAATAATTTTATGGCACTGTTTTGGAATGTTTTATCTTGTTTACTTTTTATTGACAATTGATTACATTCTATCATCTTTTTTTTTTCTCTGTGAGAGTAATAATGTTAAACTGCTTGCATGAAATATGTATATCTTGTAGATGTTTATTTCTGCCGCAGAGGGATTGGCAATTCAAGAGTTAGTTACCTGGTCCATTTTTTTAGAAGATAGCTGAACTTGTTATCTTTAATGCTTATGATATTCATATGAAAATATTTTTTGAGAATTTCGAATATACTCTCTTGTTATATTGTTTAATAGCTGTTACTGCTAGAGTTTATTTGGAAGAACATTGAGCTGGCATGTAGGAAATGCCCCATGCTCTCATTTCTCATTACATTCAGCATATCCAAGTCTTCTTGGCAGTTGGTTTTCTTTTATTATTTTTTTTGTGGTTCCCAGTGTATTCGTACTAATGTTAATAAGGCAGGTTAATTATGATTTTCTAGACCCACTTTATACTTGAGATTCTAAGACTTCTTCCTTAGGCAGTAGTAGTTTCATGAAGAAGAAGAAGATCTGTATTAATATTGCCAATTACTTCAAATTTAGGTTTTGGGTACATTTTTAGTACAAGCCTAACGTTAAGAGAAAGATTTGGTATTGCTATTCACTATTATTTGAGTCTGACTGATATTTCATAAACCTTTTCCACTACTCTCTTAACTGTGCTGCAGTTCTAACATTCTGTTCTTTGTGGAAAAGTTTGACAGAATGTGTGTGTATGTGTGTCGATACACAAACACAATATAAAGTGGAAACATAAATCTATTGTACTGAGTTGATTGCATGGTATTTCATGTAGTACTGATAAAATATTGATATGTTACAATAACTCAAAATATAGAGGTGATGGGCAAGTTCTGACTACATTTTTGAAATCAGCATCATCAAATTACCCCAAATCACTTGAGTTTTCCCCAGTAGCAAATTTTTTGTTGTCCAGTGTTTATTACATCAAATTTTGGATAAGTATTTTGATCCCTGCATTTAATTTTAATATCCATATTTGTGAAACTTATTGGTAGCTTTAAATTACTAAAGGTTTGCTTTATGTTTGTTATTATTTTAATCTTCCAAGAAAAATAATTACTGAACAGTTAATTACAGATATTGTGGTTTATGTGCTTTAGGAATTAGCTAAACAAATTGATGACTACACTGCCACCTATGAACCAGAAGACCAGTTAGAGTGGTCACTTGTTTTGGGTGAGATCAAATCTTTTATTGAGGTAATTTTTTTTACATTTTAAAACTATATTTGTATTTTTAGGTAAATTAGTGAAATATTATTTATTATATTTTGATATGCTCCCTAGTGGCACAGTGGTATGTCTGGACTTAC